TGGAAACTCCATGGGGATGGAAACTCCATGGGGACGGTGCACGAAGTACCGGCCGGAGTCGGTGCTCAGCCGTGACCTGCTGGCCTGTCAGTCACCCGTTAGCACCCGGTTACCAGTCCGAGCCCCTCCAGAGTCTTTGGTGAGCTCGGCTGCCCCTTGAGTGTTTTTAGCTGCATCTTGTCCCTGTGGAATCCCGTCTCCTCGCACTGCTCTCCCCTCCCCACCCTCGTCCCTCCTCTCCCTCCGGTGAGACCGGGTGGGCGTCACACCCGGTCCCCCGCACAGCTGAGCGTGTTGTTGAAGCATGACTCCTCCCGCCCATAAAAATAACAGTTTTTAAAATATATTTTTATTGATTTCAGAGAGGAAGGGAGAGGGAGAGAGAGAGAGAGAAACATCAAAGATGAGAGAGAATCATTGATCGGCTGCCTCCTGCACGCCCCACACTGGGGATTGAGCCTGCCACCCGGGCACGTGCCCTGACCAGGAATCCTGGTTCATAGGTCAACGCTCAATCACTGAGCCACGCCGGTCGGGCAAAAAAGATTTTACGTAGCATTCTCCTGGGCCAGGGAGTGAGCCAATCACACATTTCACACGCGTTACTGCATTGAATCACCCTCTGAGGTCACACGTTACACTTTTCTGTGGACGGGGAAACCGAGGCACGGAGAGGCGAAGTAATGTCCCTGGATGACAGTACAAACCAGGATGGAGCGAATAAGAATCACGCTGGGGCTGTGCTCAGCGCCTCGTCTCCACCACCCCGGGGACCACTCTTCCCTCCGTCCTCCTCCCTGGTGGCGCCGTGGGCACTGGCACCCAGACCTGAGATCTCACCTCTCCGGCCACCGTGCGTCGGACCTGTCCCCCGAGAGAGTCGGCTCCCCGAGCCGCACCCCGCTCCGTGCACAGACCACGCTTGCCGCTCTCTCTCTCCCGCAGGTTCTTAGACTACCTGTCCGACCTGTGTGTGTCCATGAACAAGTCCATCCCGGTGACCCAGGAGCTCATCTGCAAAGCGGTGCTCAACCCAACCAACGCCGACATCCTGATCGAGACCAAGTGCGTGGGGAGGCGGAGGCCACTGGCTCGGGGGGGCCTGCGCGTGTGGGCGGGAGAGCCGAACCCCCGATGCTACAGACTGGTCTGCAGTGGGCCAGCCTGTGAAAGCCGAGACCTGCACGGCCAGGGTTCAGGACCTGGAGAAGGGCTGCGCACAAACGAAGAGACTGGACAAGAAACATGAATTTGGAAATCATGGGGGGCCAGGCAGAGTCTTTCTCTAGCGGGAAGGCTTCACTGGTGCCCAGGCCCTGTTAGCTCTTTATTTAATTTTAGATACACATCTCGCCCTAGGTCAGGCAGGCAATCCGGTAGCAGACAGACTATCTTAAAGATCAGTAAATATTAGTAAAGATTTACTTTGAGACTATTAGGTAAGGAAATTGCTTGAGCCACCATTGTCTGGACAGAACAATCGGTGCATCGCGTTAGCCCTTGCCAAAGCTCAAGGTCCATCAGCCTTCTGGGTTCCCTGTTTGCACTTTCATAGTAGTGTAGACAGTGGATAGCTTCCAGCACCAGCCCGCTGGGCACGCGGTGGCACTTTACACGCCGCTTTCACAGTAACGCGAGCTCACCTGGGGGCATTCGACACAGGCCTGGTTTAATCTTAAGAGTTGGAAGTCCTGGGAGAATAATCATCCATTTTAAATGTCAGAGGAGGCGACAGTTCGGTGTCAATAGAAATCCGTGTTAGGAAAGGTGTTTAAGTGACCACTGTTCACAAAGGGCTCAGTGGTCCAGAGACGTTGTGTTAATAGCAGTGACTCACTGTTGGGAAGGAGAACTATAGGGCCAGTAATGTGGACAAGTTGTGTTTTAAATCCCAAAACTAAGTTACGCCCTGAATCAGTGATTTTTGTTTGTTTGCTGCTCATGCATAACTTAATGTTGGGTTTGGGCGAATGCCGGGCTTGCCACCTTGGCATTTTCCCGTTGAGGCCGAATAATTACTGTGGGGTCGGTCCGTGCGTTGTGGGGTGTTAGCATCCCTGCCTCCCTCTCGGGGAGCCCATGGTGCCTCCTCCCCCTCCTTTACGTCAAACAAAAGGTCTCAGGCATCACATGTCACCTGGCTGGGAGCCACTGGGGTCAAGTATGTGCAGAAACTAGTGTTCGGCCCTTTGTGGTTCTGCCACGGGGGGAGGAGATGCTTTCTGGGTCGTCTCGTGAAGCCCCGAGCCACGGCCTCTCTGCGGTTGGTGGAAGGTTGGCGAGGTTCCCCCCTGACGCCTGCCCCGCCCGTTCCTTCCCCAGGCTGGTCCTTTCCCGCTTCGAGTTCGAAGGGGTGTCCTCGGGGGAGAGTGCGCTGGAGGCGGGTGAGGACGAGGAGGAGGTGTGGCTGTTCTGGAGGGACAGCAGCAAGGAGACCCGCAGCAAGAGCGTGCGGGAGCTGGCGCAGGACGCCAAGGAGGGCCAGAAGGAGGACCGCGACGTGCTCAGCTACTACCGGTGAGCGCTGGCGC